CCTCCCAAGAGCTGGGATTATAGGCTCGCACCACCATGTGCCCAGTCTCAATTGCCATTTCGGCGCGCCCCAGGGATGCAGATGACACAGCAGGTTCAGGGATTGAACCCCCAGCCCCTGCGCCTGCTTGCAGGTGCTTTAATCTGCTGAGCTATTTGGCTGGCCCTAGAAGTCAACTTTTTTTTTTTTTTTCCGGAACTGACGATTGAACTCAGGCCCTTGCGCTTGCCAGGGAAGCGCTTATTCCACTGAGCCATCTCCCCGGCCCATTAGAAGTCAACTTTTACACTTGATCTTAGCCAAAAGGCTGAGAAGTGATAGAAGTCAACTTTTAAAAGCACAAATACACTCCACTTTTTCCAAGTTCACCTTCATGCTACCCAAGAAATAACTGTACTTTAAACAAAAGAGTCAAACAAAAGATTTACTTAAAAGTTGACATTTTAGGGCTGGTGAGACAGCTCAGTGGACTAAGTGCCTGCGATGGGCAAGCGCAGGGACAAGGGTTCGATCCCCAGTCCCGCATGCTGCTCTGGCCCTGCCCCCAGGATGTGCTGAAGCAGCAGGCAACAGAGTCTGGGCATGGCGGCACACATCTATAATCCCAGCACCAAGGAGGCTGAAAACAGGAGGATCACTGAGTACGAGCTGCACAGTGAGACCCTGTACCAAATACATAATTGAAAAAAAAATTACAAAATTTCAGTTGCTTAAAATGAGTAAAATATTTTTTAAAAAATTTCAATTGCTGTTTAGTTAAGTTAGAAAAAGGAAAAAAATTCAATTTGTGTTTAGAGCCATGAATGACGAGATTCTCTAACCTGAGGATATTCCCAAGGGAAGAAAAAGTGCTAAAACCTCATAAAGGAGCTGGAGAGATGGCTCAGTAGAATAAGCGCTTCCCTGTTAAGGGCAAGGGCCTGAGTTCAATCCCTGGTTCCACTAAATAAATAAATAAATAAATAACCTCATAAAACACACATTGTGAACATACATTCTAAAATTCCACCTGAGCTCAATTAACACATCTCATCCCCAGGGGAGGAGCTTGCTATGGGCACAAGGCAGATTTTATCCTCATTAGATTCCTTTGCACTTTTCAGTGTCTTGTAGGTAGTGAAAGCAATAAATCTCTACTGAATTAAATGGGCAGAGCAAACAGGAATGCTGTCGACTGCTCTGCCACTGCTGCTGTTCTTCTCTGCTATCTTCATTTGGGTATAGCTCCATCACTCCATCAAATGCACAGGCCTTGAGGAATGCCTCACACTTGTATTTTTGACCAAGTTCACCCAGTCAGTAAGGCAAGGAGAGACAGTAATTAAAAGTATGGGTTGACCTGGGCTGGTGGCACGCCTTGGTAATTCCAGTGCTCTCACAGGCTGAAGCAAGGGAACTGCAAGCTTGAGCCCAGCCTGCACCACTTAGTAAGACCCTGCTTCAAAATACAATGTAAAAAAAAGGACTGGCGATGTGGCTCAGATAAAGGTCCTAGGTTCAGTCCTAAGCAACACATGCTGCACACACACACACCCACCCACACACACACACCACCTATGGGTCTTCAAGCTAGACCATTAGACTGAAATCCCAGCTCCACGACTTATTACTAGGGGGGCTTCTGGATGAGGCCCTCATGTTTGGTGCCTCTATTTTCTCATCTGTAATATAGACAGTACCTATTTAATAAAGTATCTATGAGGATTAAATGGATTAGTATTTACAATCACACATTACAGTGCCCACAAATGTTCTAAGTACTGCGTTTACGAAATAAAATACAGCTCTGGCTTACAAGATTTTATCTCTTAAGCAAACTCCTAGACTAGCAATTACTACAGAATAATTTTTTTTTTTTTTTTTTTCAGTACTGGGGATTGAACTCAGGAGGACCCTGCGCTTGCCACGCAGGTGCTTATTCTACTGAGCTATCTCCCCGGCCCTAGAATAATTCTTTTCTTTCTTCTTTTGTTTCAGCAATTTTTGAAAAAGCTCTTTAATGCCATAACTATACTACTTAAGAAG